AAGTAAAACAATTTGAATGCAGTTTACTAGTGCTTAACAGGACCGTTGTTTGGAACGCGCCATTTTGCCTGCCTTCCTATAATCAGTAGTGGTTCCATATTGATTAAAACCATCTCCGATAGTCATTCCGACACTCACGATACAGCACTTTCTATTAACGAAGTCTTTAGATGTGCCCGCACCTGTTAATTTCAAGGGATTAGTTTTCAGCGTCATACTAGTAGGTTCGGTTCATAGTAGTAGGAATCGGCGTTTTCCAGTTCTCGCCTGCGTACCAGCTTGACGAATTCCTTTTTTTTAAGTTCAGGTAGCCGGAGCCTCCAGTGACACCTAGTTTATGTCTGGAGGTATGCTTTTTGTGACCAATAGCCCAGACTCGGAGTGTAGAGGTCGTTCCCGGTTCGAAAAGAGCAACTTTCTGCGCTGCAACGACAAATAATGGACAGTGCAACGGTCATTATCGAAGACTAGTTGCCAAATAATCATACCTCTCACATCAAATCTTAATTCGGTTACTGACGGTGTAGTAGTACTGATAAATTCAGACACGGCAAATCGGTTTCATATAAGGCTACTAACTAAGTAAGCATTGTATTCCGTCAAATGTTGCTGTCACCCACAATAGTGCCGTCTATCGCCATCGTACGAAGTAGGGTCCTATATGCAGGCCGTTCTGTACTGCAGATTGCGCCTGTACTATAAACCTACAAATGACTGACAAGCGTACACCGATCAGTTGGAGGACACACTCGTCCGTCCATGGTGCCTTTGAAGCTCACACTCGAGCCTACGCCGCAAGGCGGCTAGTGATATAGGCAGAAGGACATTACCGGCAAAGACAAGGGAGACTAGGATGGCCATTTTTTGGCATATTAGCTGTCAGCCAGTCATACCCAGACTCGAGTGGCGTCACACCCAAGCCTTGAATTCGCGGCCTCTCTGATCAGAGTCAAACGCCCTAACCATTGAGCCACGAGTTTGTTGTCTTGCCGGTTTTTGATCGGGAATACACGGTGGCAGATAAGCGTACACCGCAATCTATTTTCTGGATTTGGTATCCAAAGAAAGCACCGAAAACAATAGTTAATGAAAAACTGCTAATCCATTTAGGCTTGTTTATCCCTCCTGGAGTGTTTCTTTGTTTATCTCGTATGAGCACCAATATTTAACTGTTTTTGCTTACTTCTTCAGCTACCAACTGCAAAATCATTTTTGGCTTCCGATCGAAATCGAATCCGTTATTTTATACCGTGTCCGAGATTCCACCTAACCGATAACCTACCCACTCGTGTGCATGATACTCATGTTTATGCCGTTTATCAGCCCTCCATCCGCCAGAATAAATAAGCACTGCCCTTTATTTCCTTCAGGGAAAATGTCGTGATGGCTGCACAGTTGGTCTGACTTATGAACAGACAAAAGCGAGTTTACGAGGTG